CTACACACTTTTGTAAAATAAGTCAGAATACTGTATCTAAGTCATGGTTATTCTCTTACAACCAAACATAGCCCAACAAGGAGACAGTAATAATTTTGGATGACACCTTCCAATATTTGTATATCTGCCTATAATTGCATGCATGTCCATATTTGCTTAATACTTAACACATAAGATATACTATAAGCATATAAAAGAGAACATAAATAAAAAGTGAGGCAAAATAAAATATAAGGTACAATTCTTTATTTTCTTCCTGGGCCCTCAGGTGACACTGTGTGCTCTAATACCTCAGCTGCCCATTTTGTTCCGAAGGGGAACCATAGGGCATTTGTGCAAATGAGATAATCGATAAGATCTAACTCCACACTGTGAAAGTCATGGCCTTAAACAACCTCAGGTGCCTTACAATCAGGTATGGAACTCTCATCTGTTAACTTATCCAATGTTTTTGGAACCTGTCTATAATTTTTAAAACTACATCATACTTATGAAAGTCTAATACGCTTAGCTGTCTATAATATATGGTAATATTTTCTCATGTATTTAAAATTCAAAATTCACCTTCTGTTTCTAGGAATGTAACTTAGTAAATGAAGTTGTTAGAGAGCCCTTTATTTTCTTAAAAAAGGTCATGGGTGAACATTGAGGTAGCTAAACCAGGAGAGGCCTAATATTCCCCATGAACTCCCATCTGTTTTTCAAGGCTCTCCCTTACTCTAGAATGTTTCCTTATTAGCCACCACTCTCTCCACATGTCAGCTCCTGAATCTAGAACTGGACCAGGAGTTGGGAGCAGAGCAGGTCTTCAACTCCCTGATCCACCGTATCAGGGATGGCCTGTCACAGAGGTGTGCACAGCAGATGCTTATGGAAAGGTGATCTTTTCATACATGAACATTTTCAAAAAGTTCCGTATTGAAAAGTGTGCATGCTTTTGTTATCATCATAAAACAAAAATCTCTATTTTAAAAAATCATAACTGGGAAATGATTACGCATTTAGAGGTCAGGACACGAGAAAGCCCCAAAAGCAACTGTANTAATAACTGGGAAATGATTACGCATTTAGAGGTCAGGACACGAGAAAGCCCCAAAAGCAACTTAGGTAAACTGTAGAGAATTTTATGAGAGGAGCAAACAACAGCTCTACAGAAAATATACATGTATAGGGAAGATTTTCTAAACGAGAGAGCCTGGAAGGTAAAGGAATTTAGGCTTAAAATGAACAAAGATGATGCTAAGGAAGAGTCTTCCAAGCATAAGACCAAAGGTCAAGGTCGCCGGGCAAGGTGCTGCTGGCATGGGGAATAGTGCCCGTGCACTTGGGACCACCGGAGCTGTGCAATTATCCAGACCGCTCATCTGGCACTAGTTATGTGTCGAGTTAAATGTATTTTCTTACATTTTTATGGACTTTGGTCTCTACCCCCAGGGAGGTCAGGCAGAGTGCTTTGCTTTTAAGTTTTCTATTTTTCCACATCGTGTAGCATACAGAGTAAGCAATCAGTACAGTAATTAAACACACAGTGGGAGGTGGTGGTGCTTAATTCACTAAAGGCAAAATGGGATGGAATGTAAGGCTGGAAGACAGAAGTCCCTGCAGATTTTGCAATGAAAGTTAATTTATTAATGAATTAAAACAATGACTGGTTTTCCCCTTAAGTACTGAGTGGAACCTGAAGATTACCATTGAGGTTTTCTATGTTTCCAGCACAATGCCGCACGCAGCGGGAGCACAGATTTTGTTGCAGGAACAAGAGTGCTAAATGGGCTATTACAGACAATAACCACAGTAGATAGTCGAAGAAAGAGGGAGCTTAATTTGGGCTACGGTTATCTCAGAAGGCGTCCCAAAGGGTAGGCCTTGGAGCTAGGTGTTGAATGGCAATGGTTTAATTGGCGCAGGAAAAGGAGTTCCAGCCATGAAGAAGGGACACCTGAGGAGGGAAACTGATGCCGCCCAGCGTAGGCCCTAAACACGCTCTTCTTCCCCTCTGAGTTCAGGACGTGACAATTCTCCAAGAAAAGTTAGGAATCTGGCCGTGCAGTCCAAAGGCTTTCAGGATTAGAAAAATGCCTTTACAGGCGAGAAGCCATTTAAATAAGGTCCTTGACTCCAGCGTTGTTGTCTCTGGGAGCAGTGCAAATAAAACCTGCTGCCTTACATTACAAATCCCCCTGGAATCTGCCACTTAGTGGCACCCAGGAAGGAGCACTGGCATGAGCCTGAGCCTGAAAATATTTAATGGTCAAGGAAAGCTGCAAGAAGAATGCCAGTCGTGTTTGTTAAGGAAACAAACCATTTCTCAGCCTGCAAGCGGCACAGATAGCTTCGTCCCCGCTGCCAGAGATCAGATGCTTGTTCACTTTGCCGGCATGGGAGAAATGGGGAGTGCTGGGCGAGAAATTTAAAGTTCAATTGAGTCGTGGGGCTGCTGTGAGGACTGACAGTTCCTTGTGTGTCCCAGAGCTACCAATTCTCACCGCAAATATAAAAAGGACCCTTGTTAAATTTGCATGACCTACCTGCCACCTTCCAGTTTGAAATCTTGCTTTTAAAAACTCTGCCTCAGCTTAAACAAACCTTCACAGGACAGAGCTTGCTCAGTGGAATTGCATTTCTTTGGGACCTGCAGAGTTTATTAATGCTGAGTATATTTCCTTCTATCTGCAAGCGCACACAGGCCAATACAGACTCCTTGGCTTGGGGGAGGCTCCATGCTCTGTGCCTCACAGACACCGCCCTGCTCCCCATATCACTCTACTGAAATACTTCAATCTATGCCACTATCTCTAAATCCAGTGGACATTTAAATATTTTCCCCATCTTGTTGGATTCTCAGAAGAATCTGATACTCAGCCACTCCTGCCTTCCTGAAAAACCTTTCACTGACTCTGATGTTATCACATGGTCTTGAATCTCCCCTTGCTTCTTGGTTTTTGTCACCTCAGCCCATCTAATTTACACATAAAAGCCAGATTAAATAAAGACTGGCCTTCAAATAACTCCTAACCTACTCTCAGCACTGTGCTAAGCTTTTCCTTTAGCTATACCTGGCCTTAAAATAACACTGAATTTATGCTATTATTTATGTTGTTATGTATATCTTACAAATGGAGAAACTGAGTCTCACAGATTTACATCACAGGCACAAGATCCCATGGCACTTAGCTTGTAGCTTGCTCCACTTTTCTGTCTTTCCCAGGCCACATTTTCATTGCTTTTTTTTTTTTTTTTTTTTTATCACTTTTACTTATTCCCCAGCTGAGCGCTACTCTAGATGTGGTCCTCGGACTAGCAGGATCAGTATCACCTGGGGGTGCAGGAGGAGTGACACTCAAGAGCCACATCACAAACCTGCTGCAGCAGAAGCAGGATGTGGGCGGTCGGAACTCTCCAGGTAGTTTTCCTGGATGGTCAACTCTGAGAACTAGCTGCCTTGGGTGATCCTGTCTGCTCTCATCTACACACCAATAACTCCCAATTATGCCTCCAGCTAAAAGGTTTCCCTAAACTCCAGTCTGCCTACCTCTCCCTTCCTCTGGTTATCCCAAAGGGACCTAAAAATTAACTCGGAGGAAGCTGAACTTACTTCAGGATTCTGTCTCAACTAACCCGACATCACTGATCCCTTACAGGAGCCTGGTAGCCACCCTTCTCCTCACCCTGCATGTGCAATCCCCAAATATTGGTGATTCTACTTCCTAAATGTGCCTTGAATCTACCACACACTCTCACAGTAATCTACAGATTTCACCCAAAGCACATATTAGGAGACGGCGAAACATTCTGGGGAATTATCTATATTCCCACTGGACAATTTTGCTCCTTACAAATTCCTTCAGGTTGAATGCCAAGTTCAGGGCTCTTCTCATGGGCCCTTTGCCCATTTAGGCCAAGGCCCAACTCTTTGTCTTTCATTCCTATAAGAACAGACAATTTCACTACTACTCATAGTCTTGAGCCACAGATGACACTGAGGCCTGGGAAGTCCAGGCTTTGAGCTAATTTATCAAAGTCTAACAGAAATGAGTCCCGCCCCAGGGGACATTCTTAGATTCTCTACTGGAAATTATAACTCATTATTTTCATCTGTTTGCCCCACAGACCATAGGCTTCTGGGAGTTAGGAACATAATTCTTGTTTGTTTGTTGTGTGTGCGTGTGTGTGTGTGTGGTGTTGCTAGTAGTTATTCAGCTGCCCAATAGTTATTCAACAAGTATATATTGAATGAATATCTGCTACAGACCCAATATCTGTATCCCCCTGCCCCCCATTCCTGTTAAATCCTAACACCCAAGGTGGTAGTATTAGGAGGTGGGGCATTTGGGGGATAATTAGATCACCAGGGTGAAGCCTTCATGTAAGGGATTACTGCTCCTGTAAAAGAGACCCCAGGGAGCCCCCTCACCCCTCCCACCACATGAGGACACAGCAGGAAGACAGCTGTGTCTATGAACCAAGAAATGGGCTCTCATCAGACACCAAGTCTGCTGGAGCTTTGATCTTGAACTTTCAGCCTCCAGAACTGTAGGCATTTATTTACATTGTTGATAAGCCACCCAGGCTACGGCATTTTGTTATAGCAGCCAGCATGGAAGAAAATATCCTCACATCAACCCTTTGATCTGTTAGAGATGAGGTTGTGTGGTGAAGGCCTGGGGTTGGGTGGGAGCCGAAGGGGGGCAAGGAGGGGAAAAAAGGGGACACCCGTAATACTCTCAAAATAAAGATAAATAAAAAAAATAATAAAATCTCCAGAGAGACTTCATTCTCCCTAGTAAGACAGCCTGGCTGGGGTATTGAATTGTGAGTTGATCACCCCAGGCTGAGTTAGCCTTTAGGAGAGCCGGGCACACTACAGTGAATGAGTAGCTTAAACACCCAGGACACAAGAGGACTACAGGAGGAGCTCACACAAGCAGCAGTCAGTCACTCACACTGGCCAGAAGAGGAGGACACCTAGACAGCTTCTTATGGTCACAGAGTGGCCTTACCTCTGGTTCCAAGCAAAGTCAAGGAGGAGCCAGGTGGAGCGTTGCATGCGCTCATTTAGGAACATCACAGCCCGGCTGCCGGCAGGACTATTGCCCACGTTTCCAGACGTTGCCTTACTTACACCTGAGCAGCAGCATGTGCACAGCAATCCCAATACCATCAGGCAAGGAAAGGTCCCTGTGTCGGTCGGTGACTGGCCGGTGTTGATTTCCGAGAGGAAGGAGAATGCTGAGGCCGTGTCCCGCAGCCTTTTGAGCTTCTCTGGCAGAGACCTCAGCTCACAGACCTCAGGTCTAGGCCTGTCTCCAAGTCAGATCCATTGGGGTTTTCATGAGATGCCCCTTTCGGCCTGAGTTACACAGCTCTCCTTCCCAAACCATGCCTCTAAGAAACCCTTTCATGGGATTTGATTTCTCATGCAATAATGTCTTTCATGACGGGACGGCTATCCATGACGAGGACAGTGGTTCATTCTGTGTCATCTGCATTTCCCAGACACACCCTGTGTGACCTGGAGGGGTGAACGTGCCTTGCACATGCTGCAACAGCCTCCCATCTGGTCTTTCTGTGCCCAAGGACAGCCTTCTGCTCAGTCAACAGGTGACACGCCCACCTTGACAGCACACCTGAGCTCTGTTCATCTGTGCCTAGAACTCCACTCTGTCCTCATTACACAAGATTAGCAAATGCTGCCTGGCTTGCCCAGCAATTCCCCGCACTATCCCCACACTAATCCCGAACGATAGACTGAGCGCAGGCTGAGCACAGAAGTTCCTTCGCTCCCACATCTCCCTCTCACAAGCCCGTGCTCCACAAGGCCGCAACACATCAGGCCCCTTTAAGACTTTGTGACTTTATGTATCATTTTCTATGCACAGCCGGTGTGTCTGCCTAGCAAAACATTTCTAATTGCTTAAGACCTAATTAAAATGTGAGCTCTTATTGAAGTCTTTCCCAAATCCTCAGTTGGAAGTAGCTGTCAGGATGTGGAACTCCAGCATCACTTCCTTCCTGCCTTTGATACTATGACAATCAGCCTGAATAGCAATTTAACTCTTTACACATCTGTTCCCCACACTTCTCCCAAACTAGATGATGAGTTCCTGGGGACCTGGCAAGGCCATCTCTATGTCTCCATAATTCACCTCAAGATATAACACAGGGTACATGCTTCATGTATGCTTTCCGAGTAAGTATTATAATGCTTACCACAGTGGTGATTAAATCAACAGCCAGGCACACACACAGCCTCAGCATGATCAGGTAACATCACCTGCTAGCTCCATATCGGTAAAGTTTTTGGCGATAAATGAAACATATATATGCTTATGTGACTGTATTTGAGGCTGGCTGCTAAAATAGGTATTATTTTTTATGTTCATGGGCTTCAAATGAAAAAGAGACAGCTTAATGTTTTTGATCCACAGTTATATGTTTATTTACTCAAGAAATTTCTCTCAGATTCAAATTTCTTGCCTGTCAAGTATGTGCAGAGTTGATATTATAAATATTTAATAAGTGGTACGGAAATGATGGGGCTAATCAGAATAAACCTGTTCATAGCTAGAGGGGGTCCTGGAGGCCTCCTGTGGGGCCAGGGGTTAACTCTCCTTTCTGGATTAATGCTGATGAAGTTTGGGAACATGGTCAGGGCATCCTGGGAGGTGTGGAGAAACCCCACTCAGGGGGATTTGAGCAGTGGTTATTTACCAGCTACAATCAAAACTCTGAGATATTTTAACAGTGAATATAATTAATGAAGCACACCATGATATGTCAGACTTTCTCATGGTCTAAATCTATCTTCAGCTGCTTCAGCTGCAACCATTCAAACCAGAAAACCTTAGGATAATAGAAACCCTCCCTAGAAGTTAGCATGTAAGAATGATGTTTGAAATAAAGCCATTCATCAGATATAAAGATCTTCATTTTTCAGAAGAGAAACCGAAGCACAGAGGGATCATTCCATATTCTTGGATTTCACAGCTAGTTAATGGAAAGGCAGGGACGCAAACCAGAGAAGCAGAGCTCCAGAACGGACATACTTCATCCCTGCATACTCTGCAGTTCCGCCCGCACTGGCCCTTGCACTCCTTTAAAGCGTTTGTATTTAAGTCTCTCCCTGCCCAACTCTATTAGTCCTTCTATTATGAGTAAATGTGAGAGTCGTCAGGAAGCCACTATTTTTCAGTAATCCCTTCCCCCCAACACCCATCTTCCTGGGCACATCCTGAAACACTGAGGAGGTCCTGGGGAGTGGGAAATGGGTGCAAAAACTGAAATACAGTTCTTGACACTGGGAATTTCTACAGCTGTGTCTTTCAAATTTCCTTTTCATGCTCTTACAGCTTTGAAGTAATGTCTAAACATTGACACAATTCTCAAATTCCTTCATAAAGACGAATATCACTCACTTATGTAAAATCCTATTTTCCCCTTAATATCCTTAGCTCTTCTTTGAATACCCCACTTGCATGTTCAGAAATCCAAGAACCTCATTCTCTATGTGGGGCATGAAGGGGGCACAGGCATTGCAGCTACGTGGGCCTTGGTTTGAACCCTTGCTGATGCGTCTGAGAATGCGCGGGCAAGCGTCATGGTAGAAGCAGAAAATTGTTCTAGGCGAGTTCAAGGAGGGGGCAGCTTTGTCAGCAGTGGCTTGATGGCTCCCAATTCATTTCTTTGTAAGAAGGGCTTGGAGAGGGTTGAGGTGGCAACAGACTTATCTTAATGTTGTCTTTCCATAGGAAACATGTTTTTATTTCTGTTGTATGATTAATTGGGATTCTTTGAGAGACTGAGATTCTGCTCTCTAAGAGTTGGGCTTTTTTAGATACCACATGTGACAAAATACAGTATTTGTCTTTCTCTGACTGACTTCATTCACGTAGCACAGTGCCCTCAATGCCGACACCTACCCCTAACCACCACTCCAATCCCTTGGTATCTTGTCTATAAATCTTGGTATGAGAAAAAAGTCAATCAAGCGAAGTTCCCAAAGAGACTGTCAAAGAGACCTTAGGGAGTACTAACTCCAGCGGGCTGTAAAAATTATGAAAATCATATTAAAGTACTATAGAAGACTAACAGATAATTGTTCAAGTAAAGGACTATGTCTTTAAGCTGTCTTGTATCTCCAGCCCCTACTCTAGGCTAGCATAGTGCCAGATGCACAGGAGAAGATAAAGAAACGCCAGATCATTCAAATGCATGGCAAAGAGAGCTTCACACAAAGAGGGGAGGAAATGTACACATGCAACCAGTGTCAGGACCAAGAAGACATGAAGGGCCATCAGAAATACACCGAAAGTCGAAAGAGCCCTTGGAAACTTAAGGGACTTGAACTTCAACATTTCCAAACAAAGACAAAAAAAGACAAAATATTGCTTACTAAAATTATAGAAAATCAATAATGTAGCTTTAACCTCTAAAATGCCACATTTATTCAAAACAGACAATTTTTCCATTCACTAAGTCATTTATCATTTTGACAACTTTCAGGTCTTAGGGATATGCAATCAGGTTATAAAACAATTCCATCATTCCCCAAATCTCCTCACATAAAGAAATCTATGCATCATTCATTTCACTTCTTTAAAAAGTCTTATTCTGTCCACCCCTGTTCATGTCTTAGTAACACTGTGGGGGTCCTTCCAAGCAAAAGTGTGGACGGCCTGTTGCTATGTCCGACACTGGGACTCTGCTTTAGCCTCAGTCTGTGGAATTATATGATGTACCTAAGCCAAAAGATCTAACCTAATGCCTTGTATTTACCTTTGCAAATCTGGGTTTGCATTCTAACTTTGCTACTTACTGGCATTTGGAACATGAGTACATTGAATATGTGAAAATGCGTAATTCACAAAGTTTCATGAAGCCTAAAATGAGGCAATGGCTGGTAGTGGGTCTTATACGGCGCTAGACACCAAGCACTTCTTTCCCTTCTTTCCCTTTCACCAAGTGAGCTAACACAGCTAATTACTCATCAACTTAATATCCAATTCTGCAATTTCTCTGTATGATGCCAATTAAAGCCATTTATTTATTTAACTATGTATCATGCAGGGCTTACTCTAAGACTGTAGAGTGCTGTGCTAATTCCTGGGGTAGAAGTGAGCAACTCATGAGCTCGTGAGGGATGCATGGGGCCGCGTCCCGGGAACAAGCCCGTGAGACTGTCAGGTGCCTGGGCCACCTGCTAAGCGCTGGGCAGGGCACAGGAGCCGCCCATGTCCTCCCAACACCCAGAGCTGGCTGCACTCTTAGCAGTTGTTCGGACACTGGATATGGTTACAGAATTTCAAATATAAAGATGTGCCTTACAGGGCAGCTCAAGGGGTTCCCATTTGATGCTAAATAGTTGGAGCGATCAAGAGTGGGATGCCCCTACCAATCACCAGAAATGCGATGTTGTCACAAGGTCACAGCCTGCAACTCTACTACCGCATTCATCTCAGCAAAGGAACTGAGACTTTTTTGTAATACTCCTCAATCTTTTTTGTTTATGTTTTAATCTTTTGGGAGAGAAGAGAGATACTTATGTTCCACTCAGTCATGGTTGTCTTACTCATCTGTGAAAATGCAGAAAGCAGATGAATGTTTAGAATACACATGGCACAAGGTCAAGGCCTATGGGGTTTGCTGGACTCGGCTCAGTCACGTCCACCTGCATTTCAGCATGTTCTGAATGCTTCTATTTATAAAATGTTATAGTAGTACTTATTATTCATTTTTATAAGAGTTTAAAGGGCCAATGTGTTATTGGCTTCTAGTAAATATTAATTTTATGTAAACATATTTTCTCCTTAAAAACGTTCCATTCCTTTAGAAATTTCTCCAAAGAAACACACACACACACACATCCAATATAAAGATGTTCATTAGTCATTATGGAAATGAAAATCTTCACTACCCCTGCACATCAACTAGCATGGACCATAACAAGTGCTGACAAAAAGAATGTAGAGAAACTGGAAACATCATCCCTGCCAGTGGGAAAAAAACCCCAAACCACAAAAAACAAAAAGATGATGCAGCTGCTTATAGAACAGTCTGGCAGTTCCTCAAAATGTTCAACAGAGC